ATGCCTTGGCTATTGTAAATAGTGCTGCTATGAACATTGGGGTGCAGGTGTCATCCTGAAGTAGGGTTCCTTCTGGATATATGCCCAGGAGCGGGATTCCTGGGTCATATGGTAAGTCTATTTCTAGTCTTTTGAGGAATCTCCATCCTGTTTTCCACAGTGGCTGCACCAAACTGCATTCCCACCAGCAGTGTAGGAGGGTTCCCTTTTCTCCACAGCCTCTCCAGCATTTGTCATTTGTGGACTTTTGAATGATCATATATATGGTTTTTAATTGTTGTTTATATTTAGGAGGTTTTTTCTTTTTAAACAAAAGATGACACCACAATAAAAAAGTACATGTAAAGTAGTTTGACCCTCAGGATCCTTCTCTCATACTTCCTACTAGGCAGAGGCCAGAGCTTTATTTTCTGGGGGAAGTGAAATAATAGAGGCTCTGTAGAGGCAGAGGGAACAGGGTAGAAAACAGGAGAATTAAGTCTATATACTGAATAGTGGAACTTCTAACCATTTCCCTGCTCCCATGACATTAGGCATATGTCTCCTGGCAAAAGGTTAGAATCACATTCTCTGGTGGAAATGTGTGGCCCCAGAGAAAAGATTTCCAGATACTGTTGTTTGGGAATATCCCCCACAAAAGTAAAATGTCTAATCTTACTGCCTAGTCCCCAGTACAGTGGCTACTTTCATGGCCCAGTCCCCCAACAGTGGTACCCACTGTACACATAGGGTTTTAAATTAAATTTTATTTCTTCACTCTTAATGAACTGTCAGTTCTTCTGTATTAGGACCTTCACAGTGAAAGAGAGAGACAAAAAAAAAAACAAACAAACTTGAAGACAGAAATCTGGATTAGTGCACTGAATGCAAGTAAATGAAAATAATGATCAAGATCACTTTTGTTATAGAAAAGAATACTGCATACATAAAACAATAATAGGGTGTAGTAAGAGATAAGAGACTAAGAAGGTTTTTGGAAAATAAATTTTGTTAGAATAAAAAGTAGAAGAGTTATAAGACACCTCCTGAAAAGTAGACAAAGAGAGATGGGAAAGTGGAGAAAATAAGGATCTTAGAAAATCAGCTCAGGAGATCCAATGCTGAACCAATAAGAGTTTCTTCAGCTATAGAGAACAAGGAAAACGGAGAACATTAGATTATAAAACAAAGAATTAACAGAAAAGTCCCAAACTGAGAAGTATTGGTCTTCACCTTATAAATGACTCTCTTTGGTAATCCATACATTGAATTTAGAAAAAAACAAAAACCTTCTCAATCTGAAGGCACATCATTGTTCGTTGTGGAATTTCACATATCAGGCATAAAAGGAATATTTTTTAAAATTGCCAGTGTAAAATGAGGTCACATTCAAAGTGACAGATCTTAGAATGATACAGAAATTCTCAGCATCTTTGAAAACTATAAAGGGAAACAAGGTCTTAAAAATTCTGAGGGAAAATTATCATCAACCTGAAATTTATTCCTAACCAAAACATCAAGGAAACAAGAGGGAAAGAATTCTATTTTCAGAATGTATTGTGTTTATCAATGGTATGTGTTTGTCTGCAAGTAATAGAAAACCCAGAGAAGAATGACTTAAACAAATAGGGAAACTTTCTCTCACAGCACGAGAAATCCAGATGTAGATAATCTGGGACTGATGTAGTAACTCAAATATCATGAAGGCCCTCAGGTTCTTTTTAATTTTTGTTTTTCTATTTTTAACTGGTTGTAGCCTCATGGTGGCAAGTTGGCTGGAACATCTGAAACTCTATACCTTCATTCCAGATAGGAAAAAAAGGAGAATACAATGTGCCCAGAAAGCTCCCTACTTACATTTCATTGAGTAGGACTATGAAATCTGGCTTCGAGAGAGTCTGAGAAAGCAAGCATTTAGCTTTTCCAGCGTTTATCTAGTACACAGGGGAAGTGGCTTGGAAATGGCTGTTGGATCATGCATTCAACAGTATGTGCCACAGAAGATTTAAAAAATGATAGATCTTTTAAGCACTGTATTTTAGGAAATTAGTACATCATATATGCTGACAAAAGGGAGTAAAAGTAGTTAGAAAGAAAACATGCTGAGAAAAAGAGGATCCTGCAATAGTTATATTTGAACATTTGGAATAAAAATGTTGGTTAGTAAATAATGTCTGTTGTAAAAGATTAAGGATAGGAACATAATAGGAAAAAAATTTTTTTAGGAAAGGAGACATCATCATAGTATTTTTCTTGGCTCTACAGTAAGCAGTATTTCCCTAATCATAATACAAAAACTACAATCAATTTAACTAAAAACTGGGTTAAAATTTAGTGGAAGGATAGTGTCAGTGTAGTAAAATTCTTCATCTACTATAGCAAGAAGTAGCAGCTTAAGCACATTATGTAAAATTATGGAAGGGAATATCATAAGAAATGACTAATAACATTACTTATCCTATCTAAAGTTGTCTGTCTTATTTGTTTACTCATTTATTTTCTACTGCCATATGATTTAATCTGTGGCTTCCTCTAGCTTTTAAGATTTAGTCTAATTTCCCATTAAAATAACTAGGAAGAGGGCAGTAATAATTCCCTACAATCCTAACACAGCTCTGCCTGGAAAAGTTAGTGAAGATAGTAATTGGTTTGACAAGTATGTGTTGAGAACTACTACATGCTGGCTCAGTGCTAGACTAGGGATACAGTGGAACCAGATGATCATGGTCTCTCAACGTGTTTATAATCTGGCTAGTAGGTGACACTCAGTTGGATTATAGTAGCTACTCTTTTTTTGGACCCTACTATATGCCAGTCACTAAGCATGGAGCTTTATAAATAGCTCTGGTTGGTGGTATTATTACCTAGAAAAATTGAACTCAGTGAAGTATTATATTCAGTAATACACAACTAGATAATGACAGAGCTGAAATTTAGAAGTTTTAGTGCAAAGAAGGCATTTTTTCCCACCGTACTACTTCCCAAGATTAAAAGGAAAAAGTGGCAGAGTGATAGTGGTAAAGATTTAGCAAAAAATTCATGATAGTAATAACTTTAATGACTATCACTTGAAAGTTTTAAAAAATGAGTTATTATGATTTAGTAATTTGTAAAATTGGTCAGTATAATGTTTCATTCATGATTGTGACTAGCTTTAGAACCAGCAAAGTATAATAATTGTTCTTTTTGTTCAGTTTTGTTTTGATTATGGTAGTAGTAATATGCTCATTGTAGAGAATTTGGAAAATATAGAAACATGCAAAAAAGAATATATATCAAACCATCCAAATATAATCTATTAACATTTTGATATATTTCCTTCTAATCTTTTTAAAAATTATTTATTTTCTAAAATTTAGCATAATTTTATATTCTGCTGTTTT